GAGCCTATTTTCCCTAGACTACAAGCCCCATACCCCACATGCTTCAGACACTACACTCGCTAAAACTCCTTGTCATCGCCGACCCTAGTCCCACCTACTTAGACCAGCCCATAACCTTTTCCTCTCTCCTAGCCACAGCTGCAAACGCCCGACTCTCTCTCCACCACTTCTCTTTCACTCTATCTCTCCAACCTCACTCCCTCTTTCTCAATCCTCTCTTTCTCTCTCTAAATAGAAAATTTCTATCAACCTCACTCTCTCTACACAGAAATTTCTCTCTACCCTGTCTCTCAACTAATTTTCTTCCTCTAAAGCACTCTCTACCTCTCTAACTCTCTCTATCTCCCTCTCTATGGCACTCTCTTTCTCTCCCTTTCTCTTTCTATCTATACCTCTCTATATTCCTCATTGTCTCTCCAACTCTCCCTTTTTTCCTCTAAATAGAGAGAGAAATCTCCATCTCATTCTCTCTTAACTATTTTTGTCTCTCTCCCTTTTTTCTCTTTTGTGAAAAAAGAGCACAAAAAAAAAAGAGAAAAAGAAAGATATGTTTCAAATCTCACCATAGGTCCTCTTCGTCTCATCGCCATTGCCACCCCCCATGCACAATATTAAAAAGATAACAATTAAAACTCTCAAAATCCTAGTTGGGATGTATTTAGCAAGACGAGTAAAACCTATGCACGTTTTTCTCAGCACTATATTGGAATCTTGTAGGCTACACTCACGACCCAGTAGGTAAGTCATGTACACACTTTTCTTAATATAACAGAGAAACTCAAATTTAAATACTCGTGCATATTATTTCAAAATGGCGTAGATATGTTACAAATCTATCATGCTAGTACCCCATACATGCTTTTCTTGGCATGGTGGCTTTTGAAGATTCCAACTGAGGTGTCTTCAGGTACCAATTATGAACATCTTTCTTTGCGTGGAGGAAAGAACCAAAATCTTCATAAATGCCCCTATGTGAGGGGAGAAGCTGGGAGGCTACCAGAATTTCAACTAAACAAACTCATAACAGGCATTTTAAAGGACTCATTAAACACAAATATAATTAAACAAATAAACAAAATACATTTTAAGAATGACAAATAATTTCCTAAAATGTATTACAATTCAGAATTGAAAGAATAAAATGAAAAAAATAGGACTTATTGCAAACAAAATATTCACAAAGAACACAAAAAAAATTCCCCGTTGCCCTTAGAACACTCAGAAAAATCTCTGTGATGCTTGTGAGCAAATGAGAGGTCCAAGTGAATGCAAAATGAATTACAACACCCCACCTATTTATCGGAAGGGGAAAGGACCCTTGTGGGGGCACACCATGCAAAAATACAAACGTGTAAAAATGAAAATCATCACATCTGCATAATTCATAATAAGATTCTAATGGGTAAGAAACATCATCCAACCCACAACGGATCCACACAAGTGTACAGAAGGCGGAAGGAACACCCTTTTCAAAAATTCAAAAATAAATATTGCATTTAATTCAATGATAAAAGTTCACGTAAATAATTAAAATCTAAATATCATAAAAATATGAGCATGCATCGCAACACAAAGTTCAAATTCAAGTGTCATCGCATCAAGAAATGTGTAATTGCCTCAAGAAGCATGCCACCCCTGAACAAGCATGCAGCTAGCTCAAGAATTGCCATTGCCTCAAGAACCGAGCCACTTCCAAGAGAAGCATGTAGATACTTGAAGAAGCATGCAACTATCTCGAGAAACGTATCAATACTCTAAAAAGTGTGGCATTATTCTAAAAGTGTGCAAGTTTACCACAGACATGTTGAAAAGCATGCGAATAGGCTATACAAATGTACATGAAAACGTGAAAATCGTGTAAATGTGCCATGAAACATCCCAGTGCACCGTACAAATACACCAAAAAGCATGCAGGTGCAATGTGCGAGCATGTTGAACTCCATGCAAATGCATTGGAAAGCATATAAATGAAGAATGTGAAGATGTTGAAGACCGTGCACATACAGCAAATAGTGTGCAAATACATTAAAATGTGCATACATTATGCAAATACACCGAAAAACAAATAGGAGCACAACATAGGTGCATCAAAAAGAAAACCTACTATTTTGATTGATGGAAATCGAGATAACTTTGCTATTAGGATAAAGGAGGAATTGATGGGTTTATGTGGGTTTTTATATGTGGGCTTTAGTGTGTTTGAAAGAGGGAATGAGAAAGGGCTATTTGGGAAATGGGCTATTAAGATGGTTTTGATATGATGATCGGATAGGATAGATTGAGTGAGGGCGTCGGGCTTGATGCCGATCGTGTAGGAGCGGGATTGGAAAGGTAAAGAGAAAGCTCTCTCTCTCTCTCTCTCTCTCTCTCTCTCTCTCTCTCTCTCTCTCTCTCTATGTGTGTGTGTACTAAAGGAATCAGATGGGGTCAGATAGAAGGGGTGGTTGGAAGTCGGGTTGAGGGATAGGGACGGAGGTTGGACGTCAGCTTGCGAGAGATCCAGAGTCGAGCGGCTACAGGTAGATTTGCGGCAGAATGATTGACAGGTAGGATGAAATCGGCAGAAGAGAAGGCGTCAAGTTCGGATCTATCGAGGGCTGGATGAGGAGGTCTTCGGCTAAGAGTAGGCGAGATGAGGTCGTGCTGGAGGAGATGGTTGTTGAGGTTCGAGAGCTTCGAATGGGTTAGCTTGCGGCAAACGCGGGATCGAGACAGATGCGATTAGTTCAGTGCCGCTGCAGAGGTATGGGTCTGATTTTGCACAGGATTCGGCTTCAGCAGGTAATCATTTTAACTAATTTTTTTATTTTGGTTTCTCTTTTTTTTTAGTCGACTGTATACGTCAACATATATTAAGAAATGGGTTGAATTAGGAAATCCTTTCCTAATGAGATCCTTTTCTAATTGAATTATTTTCAAATTAATAAGGGAGATATATTAGGAAGGGGGCTGTTTTAGGAGGGAGGGAGGAAGCCTATTTAAGTCCATAATAGGGTTTATTTTATTCATATGCAGAATTTTGTCTTGAGTGCTGTAGTTTTCTTTTGTGAGGGAACCTTGCGGCGTATAGAGTTTGGGAGAGAAGATCCTACTCTCAAAAGAGGATCAATTGCATCTTGCTTCTTGTTATTTGATTTCCAAGCAATAAAATTCTGTTATTTTGCTGAAATTTACTGTTGTGCGCTAATTTTTGTGGTTCGAGATGTATCAAAAAGCTTTATCTGCACTTTCTTGCCTCAAGCTTAGGCATTCAATGACACATTAAACAACTGAAAGATTACTGATTTTTAAAAGCGTAATAAGAGAGTTGAAGGATCACCTTTGAAGGACACAAGCCGACCATTATCATCAAATGCCATTCTGTTTGATACTATCTTAATGTTTTTGAAAGAACGATGAAGTTTCTGTCTGAAGACCTGGTAAATTTTGAAAAAAATATGATTATTAACTACCAAATCTGATCTCTATATGATCTTTTGGAAATATAACTTGATTTTAACAACCTCTTCTATAATATCTGCAAGTCCTGCAGAAAATATTAGAATAGGAACATCTTTTTCCTGCATGGGAAGTACGGAGTATGTTAGAGACTCAGAAACTCTCAATTCTGCATCCATAATCAAGAAGCCTCTGTGTATTTTGACATGTGGTTATATATCGAAGAACTTCAAAATAGGCAATTCTTCATCACAATAACGCATACATGCATGACGATGTGAGAATACAATTGCTGTTAAGCCAATAATGAAATGTGACTTGTGAATTTGAATTTACAGGACAATCTAGACGTAAATTCTGCTTAAGGATCCAACAATTATCTCTCTTGTGTAGTACGGCAATTTTAGCAAAACTACATCAACTGCTGCAGGGACACTAATTAGTTTTAGATGCAACATGAAATTATTTCTTTCAATAAAATAGTGGAAGCTTTAGAAAATTGGCCTTCCGCATCTGCAATTTCACCAAAGTGGCCAAGTAATGCACACTAAAGTGAATTACAATATCCATTCTAGAACTCTATTTGTAGTGATTGAAAAACCTGTCTGTTGAATGGCTGCAAGAATTACTGAAACTGAAAATGCCTGGCATGTTGCAGCATAAATTCTGCAAAACATACTGTGAGATATAAAAGTTCCACATAAATAGAAGGAAATTCCAAAGGATTTGCTCAAAGAAATTAGTATCATATTCCATTAGTGTCAACTAGGGGTGCAAACGAGTCGAGTCAAGCCTAACTAAAGATCGACTCGCGAGCCAAAATCAGAGCTCGAACTTGAGTCAAGCTCAAAAGGAGAGCTCGAGCTCGGCTCGTGCCACTAAAACTGAGCTCACGAGAAACTTCCAAGCCTTCTACGCGGTCTGCGACTCCTCTGATTCCGCCTTTCGCGGTCGCACGCGTTGACGTCACCCGCGCTTCTGAGCTTCGCCCCGCTTTCAACTTCGCCCGTAGTTTGCCTGCGGCTCACCCACGACTTCCGCGCTTTGCCCGTGGTTCACCAGCATTTATCGCTAATCGAGCCGCTCGAGAGTAATCAAGCATAACATCACCCAAGCTCAAACTCAAGCTCAATAATCCAACGAGCTCGAAATTTTGCTCAAGCTCAAAGCTCGATAAGCTTGACTCGATAGCTCATTAACTAGTCTGTTGACCTCAATACTAGTGTCGGGGTAGTGTCAACCGCGCACGGAGAGTTTCAAAAGCGAAAGAGCGCGACATCATGCGTAGCTCACCAGACGTGTGTCGACCGAAAACTCAAATCATCGAAATGACCTCCGTTCATAAAACGAACAGTGTCAATGCATCCGGAGCAACGAAAACTGCTAAGATCAACACTTATATTAAATGGGATTGTCGATCGACAAAAATTCAAATTTCGTGCATGCAAATCAAGGCGCCAACTTGCGCAAACATCGATGATGGTGAGGAGACCGAGTCGAACCACAATTAAAAAAAATTATATCATATAATTATTAATAACAATAGAGGGAGAGAAAGAGAGCTTTTAAAAAAATCTAAATATAAATAAAAAATACCCAAAATACCCTTCATCCCACTTAAACCCACTCTCATTTCCCTCATAAGACATTCCCCAACCGTCCCCCTCTTAACACTCACGCATGAAGCTCACACCCGACCCCCCTCTCTTCCTCTCTCTCACGTAAAGCTCCGGTCCGCCATCCACCACTCCAAGCCACTCTAAGGTAATCGTCTTCATCCTCCTCCTCCTCCTCCTCTTCTTCTTCTTCTTCTTCTTCCTCCTCCCTCCATTTTCTTCCATCGTCTTTCCTCATTTCTTCTTCCCCTCTTCCTCCTTCCCCATCTTCCTCTTCCTTCTTCTTCATCTCAAAACCTTCCCAAAACTCTAACCCTAAAATTTGTATTTCTTCCTATCTACCCCTCAAATCCCTACACCCCCTACACAAAAAACCGTCCCCTACACCTCCTACACAATTCCCACCAAAAAGCCCTCTCATCCTCTACCTTTTTTCACTAGACCCAATTTTCTCTCTGGAAAGAGAGAAATTCCATGAAATTTCTCTTCAAAACACTTCCTCCACTCCCTACACCTCCTTCTACCCTCAAACCCTTCATCTCTCTCCCTAGAGAGAAAAAATTCCATCTCTTTCTCTATCTAAAATTAGAGGGAGGGAGGAATATTCTCTATCTAACACCACACTCACAACAAACATAATCCTACATCATGTTCATCAAAACCCCCATTTTCTTCTCTAGAAATAGAGCTTGCACACTCTCTTTCTCACTCTAGCCCTCATTTAAAAAATAATAATAAATAAATAAATAAATATATGCATATAATTATATAAAATAAATAATAATCATAAAAAATGTTGGTGCATCACAGGTCTCGTGCACCGCTTTCGTCGTTGTCGTGCACCTTAAGTATAAATCTGGCACTAGTATTTTATGATTTGTATGTGTTATATAAGTATTCATGATCGTTTTTATTAACGAATGAAGAAATATAAGTACCCATGACCATTTTATTAGCAAGCAAGGAAATTCGTATGCATCATATAAATACCCATGACTGCTTTTATTAGCAAACGGAAAAAAAAATTTATATTATATAAATATATGTGACAGCTTTTATTAGTGAGCGGAAAAATATAAGTACCCATGACTGTTTTTATTAGCGAGCAGGGAAATTTGTATATATAATATAAGCACCCATGACAGCTTTTATTAGCGAGCGAGAAAATATAAGTATCGGTGACCACTTTTATTAAGGAACGGGAAAATTCGTTTGCATGAAATATAAGTACCCGTAATTGATTTTATTAGCGAGCGGGAAAATTTATTATATATAAAAAACTAAGTTTAGTGACTGTTCTTTTTAGTAGACAGGGAAATGCTATGTTTTCTAAATAGGTACTTGAAGAGTCGTGACTGCTTTTATTAACGAGGGGGGAATAAAATTTTCGCCGCGGTGTCACTTGACACCTTCTATGACTGTTTTTATTAGCAGGTGTGAATGCTTAGCACACCCGATGTAGCCCCCTACACGGATACGACGCCGGAGTACTACTGAAATTTACAACAAAACTCATGACTTAGAAAAATTTAAAGAAATTAATATCTATCCAAACTCCTAAGTCAACAAAATACAAAATGCACAACATCTTAGGTTTTAAACATTGGAAAGCAAAGATGACTTGAAAATCAAAACTTAACAAAATAGAACTTGTAGGAGAACTAGTTCACCAACAGACAGACTAAAATTTCTCTCTTAGCTTATAGCTAGTGTACACTCAAGCCCCTTAGCAACACATGCTCTCTAAGTTGAAATATTCAAAGAAATGAATTAGGGTCGGTTTCCCTATTTACAACCCAGAAAATTGATACCTTGCGAGACCCGTTAAGCCAAACTCAAAATACAAAATGACTAAGGGAGGAGTCACGGGTACACAAGTGCCTTAGGTAGCGCGCATGTTAGCTATTAAAGTCAAGAGACTCATACGCCCCATGAATGTGTCGTAAATCCCATGAACATTTGTTTTTGCAAAGAAAATAAAATAGTACATTGTTATGTGTCACGGGTTGCACGACCCCTTCATTAAAATGTGCTTGACGTGCCAAATCACAAAAGGATGTCCGCCTACGAGACTCCTATTATATAATGCATATATACCAACTACATGCACACGCATCGAGTGACACATATGCATACCTACAATCATGTGAGTGCAATAAGTAACATGCACACATGTCGTTGATCATGCAAACCATTTCTTACATATGCCAATGATCATGCTAGTATGCAAGTGCATCAAAATTCATGTAGGTGTCACAAATGCACTAAGCAAAATATGCGAGTATATTGCACGAGTGCATCATACAAATGCAAGTGTATTTTACACACGTGCTTAACAACATGCAAAGTCATATGCAAATACACATACAACCATGCAAATGCATATGCAAGTATACAAATATATAAATATACGTGCAAATGTGTATGTGAATGTCATACACACCCATTGTGTCGCATGCATAGATACTATGCAATATGCTAAATGTATTTTGCAACTCACATAATGCAACATACAAAAGTTTCATGCATACACACTATCCAACATGCTAATATATCATATAAATATGTTATGCAACATGCAAATACATCATACATGTATTATCCAACAATTCAACATACATGTGCAATATCTAATATGTAAATGCATAATACATATTAGTCATATAACATATAACTGTATTACACAAGAATGTAACATTCAAATATATTAGGCATATGTGATGTCTTACACTCAGATACGCCATATGCACGTATTGTGTGACATGAAAACATATTATGTGCACACACTACGTAACTTGTAGATGTAGCAGGCATACACACCACACAGCATGCAAAAAGAACCATGAGTTCACTCTAAGCAATGTGCAAATGTATCATCATCATGCAAATCATATAGAGCATATTATACATTATGCAAGTCATACAAAAAGTATTAATCATCTTGCGAATGCATTATGCGAAATGTAACGAAAAGCAAAATACCGCATGAGCCCTGATGAGCGTGACATATATGTGACGTCTGATAATGTTGTGCTGACTAAAAGAAATAATGAATGAATTTTCAAACTTACAAAATACATCATATAAGTACGCTAACATACACGCGTATCATTTAAAATGAAAGTTAAGATACTCGCATGAGCCCCGACAAGCATAATATATGTACACATGTGATGTTTGAGGATGTTGCGCGGGTTGAAAGCAAACTTAAGTTTAAGTCTAATCCTCCCCTTTAAATGGGTCGGAGTTGACATGACTTAAACAACCAAACAAATATACGGTCGTAGAATCGATCGGACTACTTGATTTTATACATTTATATTAAGAATTTAAGGTATATTACAAAAAAAACACACTGTTACAAGCATAAACTCTCATAACCAACACTCGTTGTAGTTAACTGAAGCATTTAATTTTATACGTTAATATTAGGCCTTCAAAGTTTCCTAAAAAGAAAATTCACATATTAAAATGAATACCTCCGGTTCTGACATCTACACGATAACTCCAAAAATTAAGAGTTGAACCTGATCCTCTGTTGGCAAGAAAACAGAGTCGACAATATTCGACTAATAAAATGAAATTACCCATAATCCCCGATGATAGATGTGTTGATAGAAAATTCCAATCAAAGGAAACCCTAGATTTCAAAATATTCATAAACCCTAATAAAAATACAAATCTTTTAAAGTGATTGCAAAATCACCCCGATGATAGACATGTTGAATGCTATCTCAACCATAGGGCTCCACACAAATTTCAAAGAAAGGCCCCAAATCTCAAAGTTAATTGTTTAGGGTTAAAAGTTTAAATAAAATTTTCAAATCTATTACTCTTCAAAAATTCAAATATCTAATCAAAATAAATTACCTAAACACTTAAAGCAAAAATATATCCACCCTCTGCAATAGTTTGTCAAGGTAGATAGCAATGACATATAACATAAGAACTCATAAGTCATCAACACTGTCATCACTACGGGTTCTTCATTTGAATCATCATTATGGTGAACTGCTCTCTCCCCTTCCTCCTCTCCTATAGAGTCCAATGTCGGGCATTTACTTCAAGATTTATGTAAGTTTTAATATATATATATAGTGTGAGGCGTAAGCCTCATGCCAGTGAGGCGAGGCGAGCCTCAACCATGTTGAGGCGCAAGCCTCATTAAAAAAACTAGAGGCGCAAGCATCGAGGCGTTTTTTACTGGAATTGCGCAAAGGTGGGCCTCAAGGCGAGCCTCATATTGCTCAATTTTAAACCATGCCTACCATTAAAGACTAGCACGTGTCCTCTAACTGGCAATTTCGCCGCCAAATGGCACAACTGGTAAATGATTATGACCGGGACCCTCTGACAAAATGGTTTTGTCGTCAAATGGTACGACTAAATAACGATCACGACCAGAACTCGTATGTTCCCCAACGACTCCAAATGTTTGAGTAATAAATTAATATGGCATAATCGATAAGGCGCAATGCCCTTTATTAGCTATGGTGGACTTGAATGTCCCCATGGACAAATATTCATCCCAAGTCAACAAGGTACCCTTGGAAGAAACAACCCATGGCTGTCGACAAATATCCTTTGGTCAGTTTAGGTCAACTACCTCCTCTGACTAAGTAGACTAGGGACAATGATGGTCTAGGACAATGGAATCATGGGGATCTTGATCGGGTTCATCATCATTCGCCCCACCATCCGATTTAAGTGCATGGTAATAAATTTTCGATTATTAATATATAATTCTATTGTTATTATATGTTGCATACTACGTAGTTATTCAATGACTAGCCTTAATCGAAAATAATCTCTCATTATCGGGATAGGTAATTAACTATAGGGGCTTGTGCCTATAGAAAACCGGAACTCATATCATAAGTTCCTTGAAAAATGAGGGTGAAATCTCTGGATAGTGACTTATCTAAAAATCCAACCTGCCTTCTGAAAATTTACCCCATAACCTAAATTCGTTAAAACTCTCCTCGTTCACACAAAAAGAAAGGGGTCACAGAGAGGCAGGGGCACATATTTTCGGAGCCCACAAAGTCGAGCTTGAGCCGACTCGCAAGCTGACTCAGCCCACTTGCACACCTAGTGTCAAGACCCTCAACATATAGGCAAGTCAAAGTATATTGGTGGCATATTTAGTATGTTGGGTATTTAGTAGGTGTTAAATAGACACCTAATAATGCTAGGAGATTTTGGTAGAAGATATCCTCATACTTGAGGATATAATTTGGGTTATTTATTTATTATATTCTCATGTATGTTTATTTATAATCCATATTACAAATTTCTAAAACAAAAAAAATTAGTTTTTTTAACACTCAATGTGGTCTCAGAGCATGACTAAAAGGTCATTGATCCCCTTATAATGTCCACAATCCAAAAGCCCCAAACGAATCCACTCCCGAGCCCCATCCATACAATCACAGCCTACGACCTTGCACGCATCAAATCTGTCGCACAAACCTATATGTGCTTTATCTTGTGTGCTCACCGACTCTGCTCCTCTGTTGCATCTACGACCCAAAAGCTAACAGCTTTCTAGTCATTGCGTTCAAACCCTTTATTGCACTACCAGCAAAACGTTTGTGCTGGCCACCCACTTCCCTTGAGCACCTTTAATGACAACGGTATAGGGATATAGTCTTGTATGTTGGATTCATTTGTTGTGCATTACACCACCTGCTTTCATCATTTTCTTGATGATTTACAGACTAATCTAGTTTCTTTTTCTTTTTATTTCTTCTTCATGTATCACGACCTCTTTGTCTCGGCTTCAAGATACAGAACCCTCCTCCACTATCAAGACAGCAACCAATTAGATTTTAAATACAAAGCACAAGCTAAGGAAGTTTGTCTAGACAATAAACTCCATTAATTTAATGTTTGTGGGCGAAATAAAACAGAAGTAATCCAAGAAGCTGTAGGAACTTCATAAAGGTATAGGATGAACAGAAAAATCATATGTACTTTCCTCCAATTCTGATGGAAATTTGCATGCCTATTCTCATCAAAAAATATCCCATTAAGCAATGATATGATAAATTTTTATTTGATTTCAGCAAAATTCAAGTTGGATGGTTGAAGTGGAGGAATGCATCGGGCTTATTGTGCGATAGAAAAGTTCCCCTCAAACTTAAGGGAAAATTCTATAAGATGGTGGTGAGACCTGCAATGCTTTATGGTGCCGAATGTTGGTCATTAAAAGAGAAGCATAATACTAAGTTAAGCGTTGCAGAGATGAGGATGCTTAGGTGGATGAGTGGCTTAACCCTTAGAGATAGGATACGAAATGAGCATATATGTGAAAATGTTGGAGTAGCTCCAATGGAAGATAAGATTAGAGAGAGTCGCCTTAGATGGTTTGGTCACATTAAACGGAGGCCTTCCGATGACCCGGTTAGAAAAGTTGAGGTATTAGATTTGACTTATGTTAAGAAAGGTAGAGGTAGACCTAAAAAGACTTGGTTAGAAAATATTATAAATGATCTTTCTCTATTAGATTTAAATGAGAATTTGACTTTTAATTGGACACAATGGTGAAAAAGGATTCATGTAGCCGACCCCACGTAGTGGTAGTGGGACAAAGGCTTGATGTTGTTGTTGTTGTCATTTGTCAATTTATTTTATTTATTATGTGATCTATGACATGAATGTTCTTTGATAAATGATGTATTTATTTCTCAATGTTAGGTTGGTCCATATGGCTTGATATAAGAACAGGTTGGTTTGGCTTTTTGACACTTAAGTTCAATTTAATTGTTACAGAGCAATTAAAGAGTGCTATCCACTACCCACGATATCTATTCCTCTGGATATCGCCAGGTCCCTATTCTTATTGATTTTCTTCAAACATTATTACTTGTTGTTATCTTTGAGAATTATCTTTCACGGCGAGCATCATGTGGATTTCAAGTCATTTTTGAGAGTTTGTTCTTGTTGTTGTTGATAGCTTAATCGGTGGGTTTGTTTGCTTCTATGAGTTGATGGGTTTTATTTTGATTTAGCATATAATGGTGAACTATTTTGACAAAATGAATTGCGGTGGTTGCAGTTTTGTGAAGCCAAACTCAAAGATTTTTCATAGAACTTTAAAATTTAAAGCCAAGGCCAAACTTTGTATATGTTATGGGATAATCGAATTGAATCGTAGGATTATCTATAACCAACTAAGTTAATATTGTACCAATTATATATACTAATCTACAGATGAGGAGTATATAAATAAATGTTCTAAAACGTGTAAATTATTATCTTCAATGAGTAAGTAAATTCTTTTTTCTACTTTTCAATCTCATGCATACAAGTTTATGGGTGATTCATTTGTTTACAGTACAATTGAGACTACCTAATTCATAAGAAAGTCATCTGTTGAACCAATGTGCAGCCTAAATTTCATAACTTATATAACTTCTTTATTTGATCTTATTTCTTCTACAAAATTTGTTAGTATTGCAAGAATTCCTTATTTTGTTCTTATCTGGAACAATTGGAAATCTAATTGTGGTGATTACATTACAATTGCTAGTTAATTTTACATGTTTTGAATTTCTAGTAGATTTCTTCATATTTGTTCAATAATTACATTATTGTGCGGATTCTAATTTGTATTAGGAAACCCTAACTTTAAATCATCATACAACAAGGTCCAATTGAAGAAACCAAGGAAATTGAGGGTAGCAGACTGCTCAAGATGGGCAGATTATCTGTTAATCTCTCTCATTTCCCTCATCTCTCTCATTTCTCGAATGAAAATCCAAAACCAAGAAAAAATCTGTTTGAATATGTAAGCTTAGAGCAATATCAAAATAAAATTTCTTCAAATAAGCAAATAGAGAGGGCTCCTACCTCCAAAAATTCAAACAGCTTAACTACACCATCTCTAAAAGCAATGTTAGAACAAGTAACAGATTTCTTGATTGCATCTAACGTTAAGCCACCCTCAATGAGAAGGCCATGTGTCTTCTCCCACCTGCATTAATCCCTAAAAACAACATGCTTAGAAACTTGAGGTCACTAATATGGAATTTGTAGAAGCACTAAAACCGATGGTGCATGATCCTCACGAAGAAGTCATCTGATAACATCACAGACAAGAGATGAGTTTAGATTAATATGTTTGCTCACATACTGGATCAACACCAGAACAATAAAAAGTATATTCTTATTACACCAGAACAATAAAAAGTATATTCTTATTACACCAGAACAATAACAGGTATATTCTTATTTTGCATATGAGAAAAAAAAATAAGATTTGCATTTATTAGATGTATACAGGTTTTGATTTGAATTTTTTTTAATTGTGATTGGGTAGCTACCAAAAAGCAAAAGCATCACACATTGAACTTTATCCATAAGATTTGTAAAACTCAGAAGCAATAGTTTTAGGCACCTAAGAATATCATGGTGTGAGGAACATCACATTAAATCTAAAAGTTTTTTAGATGATAATTAAAGTTAACAGAAATTCATATTAATATTACTAATTTGATATATAACACGTATATTGCCTTTAATTCTCAAGAAGAAGCTGAGTTTGCAATTTTTATATGAATAACGCTATATTGCACACAAAAATGAGGCAACTTAAGATGCCCGTTTGGCAATTGATGTGGAAAAATTTTAATTTAGATAGTTATGTTCAAATCCTGTTTTCATAACATTAAATCTTCATTTGGAACATATTTCTTATTGCTTTCCGAAGTAGTTTTCTAGTACAAAAATTTTTAATTCAAGAAATTTTTGTACTAAAAAACTACTTTAGAAAGTAGTAAGAAAGTTGTCCCGAACAAAGCCTAAGTCTGAATCTAATGTTGGCCGCATTTACAACACCTAGCATGGCCCCATTTTCTCGAGAATAAAGCATAATTCATTAATCATTGGCCGTTGATATAGCTCCATTTTAAGTATGGACGTTTTTCAGGAGTGTGGAATTAAATTTGTCTAAGAGAGTTATGATAATAAGAAAAAATGTGTTTGTATCAAAGCAACATTTAAGGAACCTTGTGTTTTCAAATGTTCCAATGACTAACCTTACCAAGCTTTTACTATCATCAGTACAGCAAGCTTTTCATAACGAGTACATATAACAAAGAATTGCAGAAAGCATGAGTAACCTGATGAGATAAAGTGAAAATAGAAGTTCTAGAAAGGACAAGCAAGCCAAAACATTCTGGCAAACTTTTTTTTTTCTCAAACATATTTAGCTCATTAAATTTGTCAAGTTGGATGGTTGAAGTGGAGGAATGCATCGGGCTTGTTGTGTGATAGAAAAGTACCCCTCAAACTTAAGGGAAAACTCTATAAGATGGTAGTGAGGTCTGCAATGCTTTATGGTGCTAAATGTTGGCCATTAAAAGAGAAGCATAATACTAAGTTAAGTGCGGCAGAGATGAGGATGCTCAGGTGGATGAGTGGCTTTACGCTTAGAGATAGGATACGAAATGAGCATATACGTGAAAAGGTTGGAGTAGCTCCTGTAGAAGATAAGATTAGAGAGAGTCTCCTTAGATGGTTTGGTCACATAAAACGGCGGCCTTCCAATGACCCGGTTAGGAGAGTAGAGGAATTAGATTTGACTTATGTTAAGAAAGGTAGAGGCAGACCTAAAAAGACTTGGTTAGAAAATATTAGGAATGACCTTTCTTTATTAGATTTAAACAAGAATTTAACCTTTAATAGGACAATGGAGAAAAAGGATTCATGTAGCCGACCCCACGTAGTGGGATAAAGGCTTGATGTTGTTGTTGTTGTTGTATATTTAGCTCATAACTAGACCCAACCTAACTTCAAATGCAACTCTTAAAATGAGAGTGACTATGTGGGAGATTCCAAGATTTCCTAAAATCCAGCCTTAAAAAGAAGAGATTTATATGTTTCAAATAGCTATGTATTAGGATACTAATCAAATCAGGATTAAAGACGCTAGAAACAAAGAATACCATTCTTCCATTAGCTTAGTTTTCTCTTCAATGGGTATCGTGGGAGAGTACTCCAATGGATGATAGTAATCATAAAGCTCTTCTCTTTTGGCATCATACTCAGGATTCCCCTGCTTTAATAAGCCATGACTGCCTAAAAATCAGAATTAGAACACAAGTAAATAATCAGTCTCGAAATAGGTAGCAGCTTTTTTTTTACGAGAGCAGGCAGCAACCATACTCTGGCCACGGCGTCCCTCTACCCAGTATTTAGTGAGGGTTCCATCAAAATCAGCAATAATCTGATAGCACTTTTTTGTTTTATTCAGCAAAATCCTTTAAAAAGTACTAAAACACAAACTTCCAGAAAGAAACACTGATCCACCTGAAGCTTACTCGGGCCGGCTTCGCGGATAGCTGCCTTCTTTTTGTCCAGCAACTCGCAGTTACGAACGACCATGTCCTGGGTCTGAGACATGGCCAATAGCGTCAATGATCGGCCTCTATTTAGGGTTTTGCAGCAGTTGGAGCAGTGCATGCGAGGCCGAGTTCTGAGGAGTAGGAAAGGAGGGAGACTGAGGTATGCACGCGAGGTGTTTACGAAAATGCGCAGGTCGGAAGAAGGTGCAGGTAAAAAATGGAACTTGGCTCGCAGATGGAAGAGGAGGTGGTGGTGGAGCCCGTAGTAAATGGTTGTAGCACCGCCGGCTGACAGCAGCCCTACTGGATTCATCAACTTTACCGCTTCAGCAGTTTCCCATAAATAGGGCTGCAAGCGTACCAAGCTTTCTACGAACTAGTGGATGCTGGGTTCGATTAAAACTGGTTTGTGATTTTTAACTAATTAAATAAATAAATTTGAACAACATTTTAAATACTAGATTCTTAAATAAACAAGCTTGAAAATTAATGTGTTCGATTCATTTATGTTCACGATCAACATCATTTGAAGTTCGTGAACAAGCTCTATAAAAACCTCGATAAAAGTTCGAACAAAAGACATTTAAGAATATATTCATATAGATTAATCATATTTTCATTTTAAATAGATAACTGTTTTATTATAAATTTAATTTTTTGAATAAAAGACATTTCACATTTGTCAATATTTGTTAGATTGTTTTTTAAGATGTTCATGAACAAATTTAATGTTTGTTTGTTCAAGACATTATTTGTTAAATATGTTCACCAACATAGCTCATTAAGGCTTATTTGTTTAAAGCTCTATAAGCATTAAACGAACCGAACATGAATCAAGCATGAACACGCTTAAATAAAATGAACTAAACATGAACACAAACAATAAAGCTCGAATCAAACACAAACCGAACTTGAACAAGCTAATGATAAATGAACTCAAACATGAACACTCACATACTCGGCTCAGTTCAGCTCAGTTCGTTTGCGGCCCTACCTAAATACATATATTTGCTGATTGGATATTAATAATTGTAATAAATAAAATATATTCTCAATTCTAATCTTATTAACTAATTCTTATTTTGTTAGGATTAACATTCACATTAATAATTAATTAATACTTATAAAATTAATTAAATATAAATTTTTTAATTATATGAACACATAAATAATACATTTTTAAAAGTTAATGTATTTTTCAATTATTAATATAAATTATTAAGATTAATTTTAAATTTAAATTAAAAATCATTCTCCTATTTATAATATTCTCTAATGGATTTTATTTAAGGGGCATAGTGTTTAATTAAATTAGGAATAGAAACAGAATATTAAAAAAATTTTAAAAAAAATAAACTAGCAAAACATAACGGTACATTCCATTGAATGCACCAAATTATTTGACTTATTTAGAATAAGTCAAACAGTTTGGCACATTCAATGGAATGTGTCATTCTATTTGCCACATTCCATTGAATACATCAAACAGTTTGGCTCATTGCTATAGTAATTTTAAATTTTAATTCGGCTACCTCTGGTGAATGCGCCAAATGATTTGACTAGTACTAAGGAATGCCCCAAATGATATAACGCATTTTGAACGCACTAAAGGTGCATTCTTTAGAACTAGCCAAATCATTTGGCTAGTTCGCTTCTTTTTAAATTTTTTAAAACACATGATCATATTGCTAATTTAAATTAAATATCATGCTCATATTTATAATATTCTCTAAGCAATATCAAGCAATATTAAAACTTTAAAATCTAAAATCCTGCCTTTACACAAACATATTTAGGAGCTCATTAACATACATAACCTCTAAAATTTTAAGATTTGCATATTTAACATCTAAAATTTATTTTTTATATCATTAAGCAAACAATCGTCAAACACTCATCGAACAATATTGATCTCCTAGCGAGCTCATGTGCAACTAGTTCTTCATTATTACATGCTGATGGGCCCATGATGCTGATGGGCCCACGATGGCCTCCTTTAACACTCACACAATTTCTTCGTTTCCTCCACACACTGTATAAACCCATTGATGCCTTCGCTTTGTGAGCTCCCATGTGACTTTCTTACTTTTTTATTGTTGAGGGGTTCAAGGTTTTTGGTGGGAGTAGAAGTGTGAAGAGCACGCAAAGAGATCAAGGGTGATGGGAGCATATAGAGATATAGAGAGAGAGAGAGAGAGAGAGAGAGAGAGAGAGAGAGAGAGCATGAGATTGGGAGGCTTAACAATGACTAGCGTTATGTGAAGGGGAAAGGATCAAGCGTAAAAGGGAAATGGGATTGGTACCATGATGATTGGGGTGACGGGAATGTAATTGGAGATGTTATTTATTATTTTATTTGAACATTTTAAGTGTTACATATGTAAATAATGAAGTTTGTGCATTACATATACAAATCCTCATATCTTATATGCAATGTAGGTAAACCTCCCTTAATAAAATAATTAAAAAATAGAGATTTAATAAGAAAGTTTTGTGAGATTAGACAACCTTAAACCAAATAAAGTTGATTGATATGACTAATTCAAAAATACATTTCTAAATATTTTTAAAAAAGTTAAATTTTTTTAAAATATTTATTTTTATTTCCCATAATTCACGTCAAAATCATAAATATTATAGAATATATCAAACAAAATCCTCAAATGTTTAGATATATTCATTACATGTCCACGAATCCTCAATAAAACCAATTACATCAAGTTGATATGAATTTTCCAATAATCAAAATTAAATATTTTTATATTGAAAAAATAAACATATCTCAAGTCCCACACATCAAATGCATATGAAATTTACACCAAATGCTCACATGCATGTAGAGATGACTCACAAATAATTCCAGGTTTTTTCAAAATTATTAAGTTTATTCTATAATTAATATAAATAGTATAAACTTTATGAAAAATACCAAAAAAAAAGGAATTTTTTTTAATAAATTTGTGAGAGCTCTCAAATTTCTTAGTATGTTCAAACTTGAATATGCATCAAAAATAGCCTTCTAGGGTTTGTTACTGTAACATCAAAATCTGCTCCAGGATCGTCCGGGCCGATCTAGATCGTCCCGGGACGATTAGTGCAATTTTTGTTTCAGTTTCTGTCCAGAAGTTCCAGGAAAAATTTCCTGTAGGGATCGTCCGGGCCGATCTGGGATCGTCCCGGGACGATCAGTGTATGGCAAAAGTCAGAGAGCATATCATCCTGGAAAGTAATTATCGTCCTGCGAAATCGTCCCAGGACGATGTGGATTTTGTTCAGATCGTCCAAGACGATCGTGCGATCGGCCGGGCCGATGTGTGTATTTTAAAGCTGAAATCAGCTTATTTTGAAGAGAGAGAAAATCAGATATTTTATAAAAATCAGTTTGAGGAGAGAGAAGCTCGAGGAAAAGATTGGAAAAGTTGATTTTCGGGCGACGCCGGGCCGTTTTCGTCCGACGAGATTGTTCAGTAAAGTGGTGTACGCAAGGTAAGGCACATTCGCCTTTCTCAATTTTCAGAACGGTGCAATTTGAACGACTTTTCTGTCCGGATTTCGTTTTTGTTAGCGAATTTCGTCCGTATTTTCCGATTGGTTCAGTTTTTACCGCGTAACTTTTAGTATGTTTCTGAGGTGCCGAGTGTGCATATTTTGATTATTTTCTGGAGAATTTTGACCGGGTATTTTTGATTCCGCGGTGTTTTCTTTCGACTGTAATTTTTGACGATGTCTAAAAATGTTGTGGCAGTAGAATAAAAGTCTTATATTATTGCTGTGAATGTTCTGTGGTAATTTGATAAAATTCTGATTCTATCAATTTTGTGTAAATTCCGTATACTGCCGTTACGCTGCCGGATTTTCGTATGATTTCTGAAATTGTCCGGATTTGTTCTGAAATGAATTGATATGATTGTGTGCTATAAAAAGGGAGTTATAAGGGGTCGGGATCCTGTGAGATTCTGTCTGTGTCAGGGAAAATCTGAAATGAGCTCTGAAATCTGTTTCTGAATACAAGTTCTGGATCCGATGATAAGTTCTGTTCTGGTGCTATAAGCACATCTGTTCTGGTGCCATGAGCACAAAGGGAGGCATAAGGGGCCAGAATTCGAGAGATTCTGTCAGAGTCTGGGAAGGGAGGCATAAGGGGCCAGAATCCGTTGAGATTCTGTCAGTGTCAGGGAATCTATTCTGCCTTCTGATATGTTCTGAATTGATATGATTTCTGATTTTCCGTACGATATAAATTGATCTGATCTGTATTCTGATTCTGATATATGATTCTGTTCTGACTTCTGATCTGATATGATTTACTCTGATATCTAATTTTCGTACGTTCTGTCAGCTTTGATGTGATGTATTTCTGTTCTATTCTGTTCTGATTTGATCTGATCTGTACGATTCTGATTCTATTCTGATTTGATATATGATTCTGTTCCGATTTCTGTACGGATTTCTGTCTGATGTGTTTGATGTGGACTCTGAGGATTTTGATTGGAGGTTTGTTGTCTTGATGAGCTGTTGTAGCTCATCATTATTTTCTGCGTGGTTTTCAGGTTCTGGGAAGGAGAAGGAAGTCCAGGAGTAGAAGTTCAGAGTCTGTTTCCGTATAGGTATTTTTGTCCTTTTGATTTTTGTACAGTCATGGCTTTTCTGTTCTGCTTTTCTTTCTGTCTGAAAGCCATGAGCTGTATTTGTACATGATTCTTTTGAGGAAGAAAAAGATAGATGATCTGTTCCGCTGCATTTGATGTTTATAGTAGCTCTGTGTGTCTGGTTCTGTGTGTAATGTTTGGAAGAAAGTTCTGAAACAAATTCCAAAGCCAGATCCTGGAATCAGTTCAGTCAGTCTGAATGTTTCAGGCCTCACGACCCGATGCGAGCGGGACCCGTCCCGGTCGGGTTGGGTCGTGACAGTTACTTCAATATGAACATCATAAATATTAATGTAGGAGTCAAAATACACTTCTTAACAAAACATCACTTTTACTTTAAGAGAAGCATCAAGTATTCTTGTTAATAAAATATCATTTATACTTGAACTTATTTCGTTTAATAAAATATGAAACATATATATAAATCATGATATACACATGTCTTGTTGTCTGCTTATAACTTTATTTTCATACGTCTTCTAAGGTCGACCCACATGCTCGTGACAGATCACGAAAACCTACCCTGATTCCCCTTATAATTCTCTTGAACCTCCCACACCAGCATAAAGTAAAATGTTTCTAGAAATAATATCCCATAGTCGTACAACGTAGATGTGGCCACAGATAATAGAACTAATAGTGCATTTTAATGTCTCCCGTACCCTAACTTCGGCCATATGAACATAAACGCACATGTAGAGAT